GTAAAGTAAGCTTTTAATTGATTGCTATCTATCAGGAACCAATAATAACATAATATTTATTTGAGAAAAAAGTTTTTGGCATGGCATAATTCATATGCGCTAATTTTTTTAAACCTCAAAATCCAGTACAGTATGATCATAATGTTATGAATACTTTATACTAGCAAAAACACATTTGGTTTTGAGGTAGGGTCATTGGTTTGAATAGTAAAATAGTTTTTTTAATGGAGCAAATAAATTTTTTGGGGGTTAATTATCATTCTATTGACCAGTTTACACATCATGTTTAACGTGTTTAACGTCGAGACACAATAAAATATAAAGTTTGGAAAAAGGATCCAAAAAACCAACTCGACTGATATGTTTATGATATCCTGAAATCGAATTAAAAGAATAATATCTTCTAGTGTATTTTTTAGCTCTTTATAATCAAATTTGCTCCACTCTGAAATATATTTTTTTTCTCTCAAATTTTTAATTTGACAGGACAGAGGAGTAGGAATTATTATTTACGCAGCAAGTTCTGTTATTTCATAGACGTGTCAATTGATAATTATTAATAAAGTGCACAAAGAGGAGGAGGAAATAAAATTATATATAATGGACATGTAAGAAGAAGATTTATTTTTTCAAATTCAAAAGTGACTTATTTTGTACCCTAACTCTTTCTTGGCGGAAATAGATTAATGAATTTTTCGTCAGTTTCACATTTAATGGAACATTTATGGAGGAACTGGACATGGAAACAACGACGAACGTCCAAAACCTTTGGCATTTCTTTCATCATCTTCAAATATTATTTCACAAATACCATCACCATAGACATGGTATTTTAAGCAAGACTTTATTAAATTAATTTCCATATCTTAATTTGCCTAATTAATGTTTCGGGGCTAAGAACAAAAAATCCGAAGCAACAATTTAAATTCTAAACCTAATCTGCATCCAGATTCTTGGAAATACAAAACTCTGCAACCCTAAAAAATAAGTCAATAACATTAGGAGAAAAAGAATTGGCATAGTGTACATCTTCAACCGGTACTTCTGTATCTGGAATTGACTTACTTTCCAAATGCGTGGGATTACTACTACTTATAAAACAGTAATAAGAGAAAAAAGAAATTACCAAGAAAACTTGGAAGAATGTTTAATCAAGATAGGAATCCTAAAGATGAAAATGGCAACAACACATGCATCCAATATTCCATTAACACCATACATATTCCTTTCAAAATTAATGAACCTGTCCACAATCCTCTCAATTATCTTGGATGTTTTATTTCAATTTTTGGAATTGATTATCCAAAAAAAATCATCATAAAAATCCATTAATTAATTATTTAAATGTCCATAGTCATGGACCAGAGCTACATAATAATCATATAGAATGTACAATTAAACTTGTAAATTTTATTTCACAAGAATTAATGGATAATAATTTATCCCAATAACAATATTAAAGAAAATATATCCAGAGTTTTGAGTATTATCTATTCACTTTGATCCTTTTACTGGAGTCATCTCCATGTTTCTCTCTAAAGATTAGTGAGACAACACTTAAAAATTAGCATCCATTTTTCAATATTTTATATAAATTCAAAAAAAGAAATCTAGCTTTAAAATTACAGCCTTGGATCGAAATTTACCTTTATATTCAACTTACTTTGGATGATCTTTTATAATAAAATAGTCAGTAATATTGAATATCAAATATTTTTAGATTTATTAGATAACGCTGTTTCTTTTACTTTAAATGCATATGCAATCACATTCTGAGAGGTGAACAATTTCCAGGAACAATTTTTAGATTCAAGTTTCTGATGTATTTTATTGGACTACTGCAAGGCAAGACTTTTGTTAACATTGATTATTTAACAAGTGTGGTTTAACTTTTTGGCTACTCTTATCAGTTAATTGGAAGCAATTTAGAATAATTTGGCGCTTGTCAATTAATTAGTTTGCGAATTTACTTTGGTGCTTACTGCCTCTTTCTTGTACTTGGAAAGTTTCGGTAAATCTGTAAGCACGCTTAACAGTGCCAAATAATTGTAAATAATTAAATAAAGATGGCTCTTTTACAGGGCTCAAAGGCTTCCGTGAAGTTGTTTTATATTTATTCACAAACTACACAAGCAGCCTGTTTAACAGCCTTACGCTTACAACGACACTACCAATGTTCCTATTAACCTTTGGACAATACTTCACTAAAGCAATAACTTTACTAACACTCACTAGTTACCAATGTTATTCTTACTAAGGCAAATAAAACGTGGCCTTTTACCAAAGCGCTTCGCTTTAAACGAAGAATGGGATAAAATCAAATTAACGGTTTTATTTTTTATTTTTTAAAAATTTATTTACGATTTAAGAATGATTTTATTTTATCGAATGAATCTTACATTAATTCCAAAATCGTTAAATAAGTCCTGAAGGCTTACGATGTGACTCAGAAAATTGTGTAACTTATTAAAAAAACAGCAGTTTAAAAAATTTTTTTTAAGTCATAATAGAAATTTGTGTATGAAAATTTTATGATTAAATAGAAAATTTTTTTTTCATCTACATAATTCATTTCTTTATTAATTAAATAGGGCATTGGTCTTTTTCATATCATCATTAACGGGCTGGAAATATACTCACATTCATTTAAAACAAAATCTTCATTGTTCATGGATTAAAAACCCAAATTAGTAGGATGCATGTGAGAGATGAACCTCTGAGCACTCCGCTCTTGTTTGACGAAGCGCTACCCTTAACAAAATTAGAATATTTTACACCATATTTGTATTCTCGTAACAATTCAAGAAATCTTGTATATAATAATAACTTGAAATCAACATGTTGTATAACGAGAGAATTTCTAAGATGTCTTTAATAGAAAACCGTGTAACATATAATCATAGTAAGATTAGTCGGTATTTATGCAATATGTGGGTCATATTATGACTAATGATGCAATACAATAGATATCATCTGTCCATCCTATTCATCGTCCAGTTATTACATTCGTGATTATAATATAGCATAACTTTTTTGATCCTCCATAAATTTAGTAAAATACATTAATAAAAGTAATCATTAGAGAAATGAAATAATGCTCAGAATAGTTCTTATAACCTAAAATTCTAGGTATTGATGGAAATAAATCCGAGGTCTCCAATTGGGTGTCAAAAAACCGAGTTTATAATTGCTCAATTTTTGTATTGGGACAACTTCGCTTAGCACGAGAGGCTTGACCACTTTGTTGTTTTCGAGCGTTTCAAAGACGAATTGCAAAGTCATTTTAATTTGAAAAAAAAACTCGCGATGCCTTGAGAAATAAATTTATTTGGAATTTAAAAACTATGTTGATTTATTTAATACGGATGATCCGGGTAATTTAATTTGAATGATCCAGATAATTCAATACTAATACAGATGATCCGGATAGTAGTAATAATAATAATAATAATAATAATAATGATAATAATAATAATAATCATCTCTACATTTTGATTCGTAATCCGTCAGCCTTTTAAAAAAGTTATCCGCAAATCTGATTATGACTACATAATCGTAAAAACCTAAAAGGTGCATCCAGATCAAGATTGGCTGCGTAAAGGGTCAAAATCCTAATTTGGTAATAATTAATTGTCTCGACTAAACTTGACTAAACTTAACATGATGAATAAATATTATAGTCAGTTTAGCCAAATGGTCATTTATTATGCGGTCAGCCCTGTTCCAGATACTTTCTCCTAGAGAGATTATTTCGAGTAGTGTGTGTGTATAGCAATTTTTAAATTAAAGATCATCATGAAAAAATATTTTTGTTTTTTAAATTGAGTTTTAGCCATTTAAGGTGTAATTTTGATATAATTGCTTGAGGTTCTATAACCATGTGTGGCATAGCCTGAGCAAATAATATATTCAATTAAATTTGATTGTTTTTTTTATTTATTAACTGATACTAACTATAAATACTATGATTATGAAGCTAAAATACAACTGATACAATTTTAATGTGGTTTTAAGAATGGGTTTCATAATTCAATTTTTTTTATTGAAAATTTTCATCCCATATCGCCAATTCGTGGATTTTTCATACTAAAATTCATTTTATCCTGCTGTTATTATCATGATATTAGATTGCGCTCCTTATTATTATTATACATTTTTATATTGTATTATTAAAAAATTGTGTTTTCTAAAGTTCAGGTGCGTATTTACGGTACCGTATAAGGAATTTACCATTTTGTGTAATATACATACATATGTGACAATCTTTTTATACAAATTTTTGAATTCTTCACTATATCGAGCACTGCCGACTGTATGCGTAACTAACGAACACACGTTATCAAACTTTGCATAGATGGTAAAAAAACTTTCAATATAAATTATCTTTTGAATCGAATCTGTGTTTTTTTTTTATTACTAAAAAAAAAACTCGGAACAAATTTTACACAGAACCTAAGCTAGATACGGTGCAAATCAATGGGGGCGGTTTTGATATTGTTTGTATTAAATAAATTAAATAACTATTGTTAGTAAACCTCGGTTCAAAGCGCGGATCTCTACCCAATTTTAAAAATATTGGTTTTCATACTGATTTTTTTTTTTACAGCTACTTTGCCCAAGAATGTTTATTTTTATGAATTTGAATTGTTCTGAATTTTTTAATTTTTAATAAAATTAATAAAGATTGATAGCAATAGTAAATATTAGGGGGGAGGGGGGAAGCCGGCACGCGATATCCCTTTAGATGATTTATTAACATGTATTATTATTCTCTTGCGAAAAATTCACATTTGATGTTTGTACAACTTCTATATTAGTATATTTTTTTGTAACCATAATCATATAAATTATTAACGAATCTGAAATTATTAGCAACATAAGCAACAAATAATATAAATAAAGCTTTTTTAAACCAGGAGGTATATAAATTGCCGTTGATCGGTTTGTTTTTCTTATATTTTGGGTTAGAGAAAAAAATCCAATGTAATATTTTGTAATTTTTATCTTTGTAAGGTGGATAACGCAACTCCATCAATTTCTCCAAATAGTAAGGAGAAGCGAATACGGATCTTTCATGGGTAAAGGCGTCAAATGATTTTTTACCATGATATGAACCGATTCCTGATGGTCCTAAGCCGCCAAATGGTAATGTTGATACTTTTTTTAAAAAAATGGAAAAGATGAATAAGAAGAACAAGCAAGAGTTGGAAACATTGTAATTCATACAATAATTAGAATAATAATAGTGACAAGTTTAAATTTACCGGTGAAATGCATCAAACAATCATTAATACAAACACCACCTGACCTAATCTTGTCAGTCACTAAACATAAACACCATAATAATAACAAAAAATTAGTAAAAAAATTAACAGTTAATATTCAATTATTCACTTATGAACTCACGATATTGGCTAGTCTTGTCATTTTTAGTAAAGATGTAGAGTGATAATGGAATGTCTTTACTATTTATATAATCAATTGCTTCATCCAAATCATCAACGATCATAATAGGAAGAATTGGACCAAAGAGTTCACATTCCATTAATTTATCATCTTTTGAAACGTTGGATATTACAGTAGGAGAAATATATAGATCTTCTTTATCGTATTTGCCGCCAATCACCACATCGCCATTTGTTTGATTAAAAACATTTATCACACGATCAAAGTGATTTTGGTTGATCATTCGACAATAATATTGACTTTTACTTGGATCTTCTCCAAAAAATTTTTCGATTGCTTTTGGAAATTCTTTGATAAGAGCCTCTTGTGTTGATCTTGTACAAACAATATAATCAGGTGAAATACATGTCTTTAAAATTATAAAATTTATGAATTATAAATTATTATTATTTATTATATAACTAATAAATCATAATAGAATTTTACATACTTGACCAGAGTTATAAGTTTTCCCCCAAATTAAACGCTTTGCAGTGATCTCGATGTTAGCATCATCAGTAACAATAGCAGGACTTTTGCCACCTAATTCCAACGTCACAGAAGTTAATTGTTTTGCTGCAGCAGACATTATGATTTTACCAACGGTTCCAGATCCGGTGTAGAAAATATGATCAAATCTATGATTTTGTATCAACGAGCTGACAACTTGTGCATCACCATTGACTACTCGATAGCAATTTTGATCAAGATATTTTGGAAATAACTCTGCAAGAAGTTTTGCAACATTTGGTGCAAGTTCAGATGGTTTGCAAATAGCTGTACAACCCGCAGCAATCGCACCGATAAGAGGGACCAATAAAAGATTGATGGGATAATTCCAGGATCCTATAATCAAAGCATTCCCTAATAATAAAAATAATTAGGTATTAATATTAATGATTAATAATAATAACAACAACAATATTATTATTTGTTATTATTATAATAAATATAATTATGACGATGATAATATTATTTTCCAACCTTTTGGTTCTTTTCTTATATGACATTTATTCAATTGATGACTCAAACCAACTTTAACATATTCAGATTCTGACCATTTTTTCAAATTATTAATTGCTTCATGAGATTCTTGTTTAACCCATATTAATTCGCCCAAAGAAGATTCAAATTTTGACTTGTGTAAATCCCTCCATAATGCATCACAAATATCTTCCTCATTCTCATCAATCATAACCCAAAGTTGTTTTAATTGTTCCCTCCTATGTTCCAAGGGTTTTGTTAATCCTGATTTAAAGGATTCTTGTAGATCATTTACAATCTATTTTAAAATATAATAATTATTATTTTATCATTATCAAAAAACATTATCAGTAAATGTTTGCATTTATTTACTCGAGATAAATCTTCTATTTTTGTATAAGTTAAATTCATGACTATAATAGAACAGCAAATTTTGAAAAAAAAAATTTTTTTTTAGTAGTTTGCAAATTAAAACATTTATTTAAGTGTACGTTGGGCGCAACTCGTCTCACATGGCTGTATGAAAATTTCCCATTTTGTATTATTTAATACAATGGTGCTTGTGATGATGATCTTTTTACGCTTCACCATATCGAGAGCCTGTGGGGACGAATTTGTATTAGTCAAAGGAATTTAAAAAATTGTTATTTCACGTTGGATCTACAAAAAAATTAAATTAAGAATGAATTAATTGAATGAGTGATTTTAATATATATAAAAAAAAAATAAACACAAAAATCATATGAATTTTAATTAATTGCTTTTTGACAAAGAAGGAAACTCCCGATAAGATTAATGGAGAAAATTATAATAATAAATAAATTTTTATATGATGAAAATTGTTATTTAAATATATCATAAATCATTTCTTTCAATTTAATTTTTTCTCCCACTTCAATCTTTATGTTAAATAATTAATCGATTTTTTTTCACTAGAAGAAAAATCATCGCGGACCTTTTTTTTCTCTTCTTGACGAGGAACTTGTCGTTGTTGCCGTCAAAATAATAACAATAAATTTCCTACCAATATTACACCATCATCAACAACTTCGCCCATTCTTTTATTCCTTCCTTTTAATTTTTATGACTCTCTTTCCTTGATAGAAGTGAAAAAAAAAGTCTTCGTTGATAAATTTTTGTAGAGAAAAATTTAATATCATAAATACACGCATTCACACAAATCATCACGAATAAAAAACGCATATATTAAAAAACTCACGTACTTTTATAATACACATAAAATATTCCTTTTATATATATATACACATTCTCCCATTACTCATAAACATTCACACATACAATCATAGAATATGGCGGACGAATCGCATACTACACAAACCACCACAGATGAAGATACAAATTCCGAACTTATAGATTCAATTGTCACTTATAGCACTGATGCCGGTGATAGCAGTTCAGATTCAACTAGTCAAAGGGATTCTTACGACGATTCTTCACAAATTGATAATTTCCATAATAGAGAAGCTCATCAAACTTCTAACAATAATGATGACAATGATGACGATGACGAAGACGAAGAAAATATGGATAAATCCAAGGATTCACAACAATTCTATAAGAAAAAACGGTTTTGGGTAATTTGCTCTATAGTATCAATCATACTATCAATCATTTTGCTTCCTATATTATTTTTGGTAGTTTTCCCTTCAATTGCCAGAAAAACAATGGACAGATCCACCATCAATATTAATAGTTTACTTATAAAAGATCCACAGGAAACAAATTTCAAAACGGATCTTGCTGGCAATGTTACCAATGGTGGTGCTTTTCAAGTTAGAGTAGATTTCCCAGATCCTATCACTGTATATTATAAGGGTGGCCCACTTGGTACAATGAATATGAATGGCGTGAATATTAAAAATGGTAATGGTCAAATGAGCGCCAATGAAAGTACTTTTGCAATATCCGACCCTAGTAATTTGATAGCATTCACAGCCGATCTATTAACTTCGGAATCTGTCGATTGGGAGCTTAAAGGAAAGGTGAAAATTCAACTTCAATCTCTTCATTTATCAAAAACATTGCCATTAGACAAAATTGTCACTCTTAAAGGTGCAAATGGTTTTCAAGATACAGTCATAAAGAACCTCACCATCACACAAAATAACGCAACAAATACACTGGATTTATTTGTCACTGCTGTATTACAAAATCCTTCTCCAGTCGGTATGGAACTTGGAGTATTGGGACTGCAAGTTTACTACAATTCTACATTGGTTGCCTCTGTAACAACTGACAGCTTCACCTTACTTCCCGGTGAAAATACAATCAATATGAGAGGAAGCGTCACACCTCCTCAAACTGACAATGACAAAGCTAATATTGCAGGGTTTGTAACATCTTATATACAGGGACAAGGTGGTTCTGCATTGGCTAAAGGTGTTTCAGCAACACCTAGTTCAGGTGCTCCTATCAGTTGGTTGAATACTATTGTACAAGGGTTACAACTCAATGCTAAATTAGCCTCAGCTACACCATTTAAAGTTATTACCGGTGTTGATTTTGGTCAAATGAAATTGGTATTCACCAATGATAGTGCTTATGCTCCAATAGCTTCTTCAAACAGATCTATAGCTGATTACGTACTACCCTTTGACATCAGTTTACAAGTAACAGAAGTTTCACAAGATATCAAAATTTACACTCAAGATCAATTAGAAATTGCTTCACTAACAAGCGGTTTTGGACCAGCAACAAATGATGCTAGTAGAATTTTTATAGATATACCGGCAACTCCATTAACAGCAGAACAAACTGATGCCGGTGAACAAATATTTCAAGATTTTCTTAAAAATTTAACATTGGGCAGTGCACTTGACTTCCAAATAGTTGGTACATCGAATGTCGTTGCAAATACTGTCATCGGAAATTTGACGTTAACAGGAATTCCTCTAAATACAACAACAACAATAAATGGTTTTCAAGGTCTTGGTGTTAAAGCACCTGTAATTAGTAATTTGAATCTTATTGGTGGTACAAAAGATGGTTTGGTTATGGGCCTTAATGTAGACTTGTTCAATCCTACAAATTTTTCTCTTGATGCCGGTAGCGTGGACTTTGAAATGTTCTTAGATAATCAAACAGTTGGCTTTGCACATGTTGCTAATTTATTACTCACTCCTGCTGATAGTAATTTGACTGTGACGGCAACACTTGATCCAAAGAATAATCCAAGTGCTCAAAAAGTTTTAAATTCTTTCCTTAATGGTACTCAAGCAACCATAGAAATTGGTGGTTATGAAGGTTCAACAACAATTGCAAGTTTGACAAGCGCTTTTACTTCTCTAAGAATATCCAGCGCATTACCACCATTAACTACCAAATTATTAGGGAAAACATCATTAGGAATTTTACCTGACACTGCTAAAAATGGTGTTGCTAAAGCTTCTGTCGATCTCATAAATCCTTTCGCAGCCGACCTTTCTATTTCATCGATCCAATCAACATTAGGATTTCACGGAAAACAATTGGCCACCATGAACATAAATAATTTACCAACTCCAATAGTTGCTGCTGGAAATAAAACTACTGAAATTACCGGTTTACCAGTAACATTAAATCTCGATCCAACATTTTTATTCAACGTTGTGCGTATATCTGCTAAAGAAGCCGGCCTAGATTTAACTCCAATTGATGTTTTATTGACACTTGGTGGAATTACTGGCATTGAAGATTTTAAACCAATCGACCTTAAAAGTGTTGATCCATCGATTTTTAAAAATTTTAATATGATTGATTATACCAAGCAAGCACTTAATGCGATGACTGTTGATGTCAACATGAAATCCACCATAACAGTGGGAGAATATACATTTGAGATGTCATATGTTCAATTCGGTGTAGCTACTTCAACTGATGACTCAATCTCTCTCCTGATATCTGCTCTTTCAACACCAATTGTACAAAAAGTTGTTGATGGTTCAAATATCAGCTTCAGCAAAATCTTTATTGAAAATCCAAGCGAAACTGCATTTACCGCTGATATCTCCGGCGAAATTGATGATTCTGGACCTTTTGATGCTACTATTTCATTCGGAAATGGTGCCACCTTATCTTCCAATAACGTAGAATTCGGTAAAATGGTTTTACCTGATATCAAAGCAGTCGAAGGTAAAGCTGTTCTTAATATACAACAATCACCATTTCAGATTACAAATGCTCAAGCTTTAGCTGGCTTTACCGACCAAATTTTGACTAGCAAGAGTGCAAGTTGGACAATGGCTGCAAATAATATTACTGTCAGTGCATTAGATTTATCAATACCAAATATTAATCTTTCTAAAACTATTGATTTGGCTGGCGCAAATGGTTTCCTTAACGATATTAAAGTTGTTAGCTTCTCACTACCTGGTACTACACCTGAAGGCGGAATGGCGGTAAGTGTCCAAGTAAATTTAAAAAATGAAGCAGTAGTCGGTGTAGATCTTGGAACTGTAAATTTCAATATGTTTTTCGATGAAACATTTATTGGACCCATAGCGGCCACAAATGCAACATTTTTACCTAGTACTACTGTACCTTTGACTCTTAATGGTCAAATTCTTCCTCCAACATCTCCAAAAACCTCAGCAGCATTAGAAAAACTTTTCAAGCTTTTCCTTGCTGGTGAACCTGTACCATTCCAAAATGTTGGTGACTCTGTCGTGACAAAAAATGGCCCGGTTAGCTGGTTGAATGAACCAATCAAGAAAATCAGTATTACTCTTCCAATCCAAGGTCCTAAACTAACTGATGAAAGTGTTATAACTCTTGACACAGCAATTATTACTCACATCACAGCCAGTAGTTTTAATGTCAAAATGGCTGGTGAAATTGCAAAGACTGGTCCTTTTGCTGCAACACTCAATTATCCAGATGGTGTTGATGTTTTATATGATGGAGGTGTGATTGGTAATACTAAAATGACACCTATTAGCGTACAACCAAACGTCACAGCTAAAATAGATCAAGATGCTTTTTTCGCAGTCAAAGATATAAATGGACTAGCTAAATTCACTGGTGATTTATTGAAACAACCGTCTGTAAGTTGGGAACTTAAAACTGATACTATGGTAATTGAAGTTGGCAAAGTCCCTATCGCAGGTATACCATTTGATAAGCAAGTTCCTTTGATAGGATTTAATGGATTAAAAGATGGAATTAAGATAAACAATATCGAGTATGGAAAAGGGGGCGACGGCAAAGGGCTGCCTTTTACTATCGATAGTACATTAATAAATCCTTCAAATGTTGGAATCGAGTTGGGAACTATAGTATTTGACACGTCCGTAGAAGGTACACCTGTATCACCAATTACCGGCAACAATGTTTTACTTGCACCAAAAGCCAACACCAATATTACTTTTACTGGTGAAATAACAGATTTCTCAGTAATTGAAAAAATACTTGAAATAATAAGTAGTGGTAAACAACCATTGTTGAAAATAGTTGGTAAATCAGTCGATCCACCAAATGCTGGCGGCCCAGTACCATGGTTACAAATACCATTTTCTCAACTTTCAATTGAACTACCATTCCCTGTTACAGGTCTTCCTCCTATTGGAAATAAAACTGCTGGGCTCAACAGTCTTACACTTAATTTTGATGCAAAAAGTTTTGCTGCAGAAAAAAGCTCCACGATAAGTGCATCTGTAACCAACCAATTTCCAGTAGATATTGTCGTCCATGGTGTTGAAGCAACAGCAAATATCGGAGGGAATAATTTAGGGTCAATTAGTGTATCGGATCTTCCAAAAGAGCCTACTATTAAAGCAGGTCAAACAACAGAACTAACGATGCCATTTTCTTTTGGAGCTGGAGCAGATCTTGTTGGAATGCAAAAATTAGCTTCACAACCTGCCGATTCTCTCGCTTTTGATATTACATTAACCGCGAAGGTATCAATTGGTAATTACCCTACAAGTCTTGATTTTAAACAAAACGCAGTTCCATTGAAAATTACAGGAGCGTCAGATTTGTTTAAATCACCTTCAAATACTGCTACACCAACTGCAAAAAATAATACAAATAATTTAGTTGCTCGCACAAAAGGTCTTCCACCACCTGCAAAAATTGACACGAAAGGTCTTCCACCACCACCAGTAAACATTGACACAAAAGGTCTTCCACCACCACCAGTAAACATTGACACAAAAGGTCTTCCACCACCACCAGCAAACATTGACACTAAAGGTCTTCCACCACCACCAGTAAACATTGACACTAAAGGTCTTCCACCACCGCCAGTAAACATTGACACTAAAGGTCTTCCACCACCACCTGTAAACATTGACACTAAAGGTCTTCCACCACCACCTGTAAAAAGATTCAGAAGAAGTGTGGCATATCAATAAACGACAACAATTTGTTGATCTTCCAACAATCATCTCAACCATCTTTATATTTATTCATATTATGCTTATATTTATTTTCCTATAATTAATATTGATACCTTAATTTTTTCAATAATTTTTTTATTAATAATAAGAAGAAAAAGTAATTTATTTATTGTAAATTATAATTTATTTTATTTTATTAGAATAAATTTTTAAAATAAAAATTAAAATATTTAAAGATCAACTTATTTATTATTAGTTCGTCAAAAACATCAATAAAACAAAATCCTTTGTTTTTCTTTTAGTCAATAATAGTAGTATTAACACAACACCCAACCAAATTGTTCATGTGAAATAATATATTAAAAAAGAAGCTATACAAATATTATTATATTATAATGATTTACTTTTAAAAAAATATATGTCGTCCAGCGATTCCCAAAAATAAAATCTTAATATTTAATTTATAAAAATAAATGCCACAAATTCTATTATTTATTTAATGAAAAAAATGCTAAATTATATATATATGGTAATGTTTTTTTAAATGGATAATTAATAAAATCATAAAAAAAAAATAACTAAAAATCAAGAACATTATATTTGTTAAAAGATCTTGCAAATTACGAAATATCTTCTTTATTATCATTGTTCTTGTTGTTGTTATTATTATTCATTATTGTTATTAGTCTGAATTGATAATTTAGCACTAACAGCTGCAGCTAAATTTGTAGGATCTGATAAGATATTGCCAGCATTAGAATTTGTGGTAACTCGTTGAAGAAGTTGTATTTGGGAATTTGAAAAGACATCTTGCATGTACATTGAAGAAGCTCTTGATAAAGGAATTTGACGATGTAAACCAGTTGATATAAGTTCTTGCATTGCTTTCTCACAAAATATTTCTAAAGCTTTTTCCAGCTTTATTAATAATTATTTTATTAGTAAATATATATTTATTCTGTTGCATAGAGAGAGAATATTAATTAATTAATATTTTATTTTATCAACTTACTTGGGTTTTTCCATTGTCAGTTAATTTAACAATCTCTGCTACATTAAATTCATCAAATTTTATATCAAATCTGAATTTTGCAGCACTGTAATCAATTAATGGTAAATATTAATTTAATTGAATTGAATTAATTAAAAACACATTCTAATCATAACAGTAATAATAATAAATAATAATGATAATAATCTACTAACGCCGCAAAGAATTTCAAATTTTCAGTTGCACGATAGGTTCTCAATGTATCCTCATGAATTTTATCAATAAAACCAAATGGTCTCTTAGATCGTCTTACAATAGTATTATAAATAGTGCATAATAATTTGCCATCACTAAATAATAATAAATAAATTGTTAATATATAAATTTTTTAAAATAATAATAATAATAATAATAATAATAATAATAATAATAATAATAATAATAATAATAATAATAATAATAATAATAATTACGCTAAAGATGCAAAGAATCCTGCTTTGTCAGATTTTGGATCTGGAAGAGGCGTATAATCAGGTAATCTCTTAGATTTTGATGGACGGTGAGCCTCTAAAAATGCATGATATCGAGCTAAAATATATAATCATATTATATAAACATGTGTGTTAATAGACCACTACTATCATATAAATGTTCGGTTCCAAATAAACCACAATTCATATAACACTTTTTTATTTGTTCAACTTTATTTTACCTAATTTGTCACTACCAAAATGATCAGGATTTGACCAATCAAGATTTGGATGACCTGGAGATAATGGGGGTGTTAATTGAGATAATAGATGACTATCTTTTTTTTCATCATCTGAATTTGTTCTTAAATAGGAAGTGTTTGGTGGATAAATTTCTTTATCGTCAAATAATAAAAATTCCTCGACTATCTGAATGTATTTCTGTAAAGTAGCACGTTGTTTATCCAGTGAAGTGTAATTAGACGATTTGTACAAATGGCCATCTTCACTGCCACTATCGTCAGTGTCATCATCACGATGAGTTTTTTCAAGATCACTTATCATCTCAAGAACTTCCAAGGCAGAAGATCTTATTTTCGCAAGTGACTCGTCTGTTATATCATCTTTTACCATTGTATAATTCCTAATTGATTGGACAGCTTTTGTTGTAGATTCCACTGCAGCTAAAATATCCACAGGTACAGGATCTTGTTCTGATTTTGCTTCACCGGTAATCATACACCAAGCATCAAGCATTGCTTGAATATCAGCATGACAATTTCCCAATAGTACGTCTGGATCCATCTCAACATCTAATTTACTGGTTATGAATGTAGGAAGTGGTGGAGGGGATGGTGGGAGTGGAGTTGGTGGAAAATCATCAGGTTCTTCAGTAACTTGTAATAGATAAGATGTATTTGTGTTTATTGTAAGTTTCTTTTCTGCTTCTTCACTGTATATATATACATTTATGTATGTAATTAATATAATAATATTTAATAAATAAAAGTTTTCTTGCTGAAAAAATTTTAGATTAAACAATATATATAATAAAATAATCGTACATATGTTTTGGTTTCTTTGGTTTTATGATTATTCCTCTTTTAGCATAAAAATGTTGTAAATGTGTTATACTACCAAGTGCTAAAACTGACTGTCTTTTTTTTGCACTTTTAGCAAACTCTCTTGGTTTTGAGGGCTTCTTGTAAGCTCGTCGAGTTGCTACATGAACAGGCATAGTAGAACGTTTTGAATTTAAATCAAAATTAAGGAATGGGACAGATATGTCAGGAGTACTTTGATGTTTTTGATTTGATTCTAATGAATCGAATGATGTTGTTGTTGGTGAATCGGTTATTGATGAATCGATTATTGATGATGGTTCCATGATTATGATATATTATAATTTTTCTGGTTGAAAGAATAGTGTATGCGTATGAATACAAATAATTTTGAAAAAAATTACAGCATTATTGAAATTTAGACCAAAACAACTTACCAAATAAATATATATGCTAATAGAAAATGCTAAATGGATGGATGAATGAATGAATGAATGAATGAATGAATGAATGAATTAGTAAATGAGTGAGTGAATGAGTGAATAAATAGAATAAATAAAACTAATCAAAAGAATGTTTTAGTAGGAAAAGTAGTGAAGGAATGAATAGGGTAGGTAGAAATTAAATAGGGATTTTCAAAAAGGAGGGTAAAAATAGTTAAAGTGAAACGTTAAAAGAAAAATTTTTTCTGAAACAGAAAAAATCCAAAATGAAAATTTAATAAATTTTTATTTTTAAATATTTATATAATAATACCTATAATTTTTATTTTATAATGTACACCACTTTTTTATTGCAGAAATTTGTACGAATAATAACGCTTCGATTTATTTATTTGGAACGAATAAATTTGTAATTAAGAAATTCTTCAGTTATTTAAATAACAATAATAGTAATGATATATAATAAATAGTAGACAGCGAGAGAGAGAAAAAAAAACAGAAAAATTTTTTTTTCTTCAGAAAGTTAAAAATATTATATATATATATATTCCTAAAGAATATATTTGATTGGTTAATTTTATCAGTACCTGAAAATCATGTTGTAACGCCAACCAGCCACATTTTTAATTGTTCCTATTACGTATTATCAAAAGGGGACTGAAAATTTCCAAATTCTTGTTCTTTGTTATTGATTGAGATTTATTAATTTAGATTAGATCTTTCAATCAAAAAAATTACATTTTTCCAAAAGGAGAGAAACAATTCGTAAATTTGCAAGATGATGTTATAGGTTATGAGTGCCTATAGAATGAGGCTATTTTTTTTGCAACAAAAAAATATCTGATTTTAAGATACTTTTTATTTATCCGGGTCATACGAATCACGTGAAATTTTCATTTTATTGTTATTAAAAACTCTTAAGATTAGGACTTGTAGAATAAAACTATAGAGAGCATTTTCTTCCGTCTTCTTTTACTTCGATCTTGTGCATTTCATGTCTTTAAATGGCGAACTTTCTTATCATTTGCAGAATTATGATTTTACTATTTTACTTATCACTCTTTACTTATCACTCTTTAAATAATGTCAATGAAGAATTGATTACTATCGTCCCAATCTTCACCACCAAGTAGATTACCTAATTCTATATCATCCTCTCTCCTATATAATACTTTTTAATTAGACGATCTTCCTTCATTGCAGAAAATAGTTAATCCCAATATGTAATATTGAAGAGGGAAATAAAGGATATTCATGATATTTAATGTCGTCATTACTATTTTCAACAGCTTCTTGATTAAGAAATTCAAAATTTAAGTCAGATAAACCATCGATAAAGATTGCAATGGCTTTCAAAGAAACTCGTCCTTTTGACTTTGGAGACCTAATTCTTTAGAGAAGCAGGTTTATTAAGATCATTCTGAAATAATAAGATAGAGTATTGTACAATGAGAGTTTCTATGTTTGTATGGTTTTTCGGGGGTAAATTAATATACCAGTCAACGATCGAATAATAATTATTATTATTCTCGATTTGTGTAGGTACCATTTATATGAAAATGAGAATAATAAGTGTTAAATGGCAGCAGTTCCATTAACGATATTTAATTTTTTCATAATCTTGACTTTTTGATATTATATTCATAGAAAGCATTTTTTTTTTTTGAAAAAAAATTTTCCCAACTAGGTTTTTTTGTGTAGCAACTTTTTGTTTTATCTGAAAATAGAATATATTACTTTACTCATGTGATTTATTTAGCCTTTTGCATTATTTTATGGACGAATCATTTTTTTACTAATAATACTAATTACACCGATTGTAATAATGGATACTGAACAATCCAAAATTATCGTGTAAAAAACAAAAGATTTGATTTTGTGGACAGGTAATTCTAGTGGTTTGTTTATTAATAATATATTATTTTCGCCAATTCAATCAATTAAATAATTGACTATTGTCATGACAATTTATTTTTCTAATTAAATAATATTAATTTTTTGATGTCGAATGTTTACAAAATCAAAACTTGACGAAATTGCAACAAAGCTTAACAAAATAACAATTATAGTCATATTGGATATGCAAAGATTTTATATTACAATCAGCATAAAAAGTATCCTGTAATATTATTTAATTATTATTTAATATACAAGTATTGATTCTTTTCTTTTAATGGTGCATTGCTATATTCAAGTGGATTGATTAGGTAATTATGATATTAATATGTTGAAAGGAACATGTATTGGAAATTCTATGGTTTGGTTCTAGAAATAGAATCACTTTATTAAATATTAATGTACGGTTCGCTGCTGCACCACCACATGGCCAAATTTTCAAAATATTGTTCAAAAATCCAATGAAACATTTTTTATACATAGGCTTCTGCGCAATGCAGTCATTGTAATTTTTTTTGTGCCAAATTTAGATATTATTATTATTATTATTTATATTATATATTCTAAATTTAGTCGGAATTTTCGTGGGAATACTAAAAAGGAATATAACTCTCAAAATTTTATATTAAAGCTAGAGACATATTCTATCAATTTACAATATAAAGTAGTTTTTGAGTTCTATACTTTAAAATTTGCGCAAAGTTTAGGAAGTCTTTAGATAATGCGAACCATATTTTATATGGGGACATACCGCAACAAAACCAGGCAAAACAAACGTTGTATATATACTGCCATCGCCACACTGTACTACTAATATTTTCTTTTCCTATTTCATAACTTTCTATAAATTACATGCTGTACTTTATTTCACTTTTTAGTCCAGGTTTTATCTGATTGAATATTCTAGTTGAATTTTTATCATTTTCTAATTATTAAGATTATCTTCCAAACATTTTATCTTAGCCTTTTCGGTTTATTTCATATTTGACTTTGTCTTTTTTCTTCAATGTAATTTTCATGGTTGTTATCGCTTGACTTTCATTCAGCTTTTTTGGTTTGTTAATCTCTTCATTAACTTCCTGTTTCTTGGCTTTTCATTTGGATTTTTTCTCGTTCATGCTAATTTAATAATTCTTTTAAATTTTCAATTCTCTGCTTTAAATCTGTTATTCCATTTTTTAATCTGCTTATTTTCCCTATTCTTTTCATTTATTATATTATGTGGGAAATCAAGTTAATCATCATCATGATATGACTACTTTAGAGATTTTAAATAAATCTGGGAGATTTTCTCTTGTGTTTTATGTTGTAATGTATCTAGGCCGATAAGGTCGATTTGAGTAACCTGAAAGTTATTAATAAGATAAAATATACAAGTGTCTTTAATCAATTTAATCGATTTGTGGATGCAACACAAGCATTGTTAAAGTTGTCTTTAGGTAATAAGGCAATCGAAGTATATATAATAAGCTTGAATTAGTGTACAGTCAGACGATAAACCAACATTATTTTATTAAATTTATCTCTATAAATTATTTTAAGATTTTTTGCGAAAACATTGACTTCGGTTTATTGAGTACTGACTGTACTCTCAAAATAAATTTTTCTTGAATAAAAAAAATATAACCTTGACTTGAGGACAAGTTTCAACTTATAAACCTATATCAAATTAGACCCCAAGTCATCCACTGGTAAAAGCTCATTCAATTTTATTTTATTCAATCAAATTGGTGGGTGACATTATCAAGGAAAAAGTAATAGGTTTGTGAGATTAATTTCGTGATCTGCGCGATCAGTGTTTTAATCCACAGATCGTTATAAGATCAGCAGGGCTCATTTTTCAGAATGGTGACTTCCTCACGATTTAATAAACACAAAAAAAAAAAAATTATATTCATATAATTTATTATCTTGTGATGACATTTAAAAATGGCTCCTCAATTAGTTGTAAATAATTGCGGCATATAAAAATTGAATTGCGGTTGCGGTTGCGGCATATGAAAATTGAATTGCGTTCCCATCTCTAATGACATTCATTATGGCCCATTGGTTACAACACAAAAGCCAGATATACTATATAGATAGGAATGAAAGTTAATCAAACAATAATGTTTTTTTTCAATTTGTTTTACAGATTGAAATCTTGTTTTGTTGTGAGTAAAATGAAAAATCCGTAACTTGTGAACAGCTCTGCTGCAAGGTAGCTTTTTGGTCAATCTCTATTATTTTACATTAATTCCTTATTCATTTTGATAAACTAATAATAATTTTGAATAATTAGGTTTAGTTTATGAGCCAAATATGTTCTCACAATGCAAGTATATAATATATTTATGATATTACGAGTTTATTAGAAAAATTTATTTTTAGCTGGAGAAGCTGACAAAACTAGAAAATATACAGCTAAAACTATGTTGGTAGAAGAAAGTCAAGTTGATAAAAAAACAAGGTTCCAAAACTCCAAACTATTCATGGGTGGATAACCACCTATGCTGTATATTTAAAAAGAAAGTGTTGTCAGAAGCCAGTATTCCAACTGAAATGAGTAAAAATCACAATGAAAATCGATTGACATAAATAATTTTATATATAAAAACCTTCGGATGAAACATTTTTTATATTTTCTCAATCATTTATTGCATACAATTATATCCCGAATTTTATTGTTATTATCAGTCATCCGTAATTTCACGGGATCGACATGTCTACTGCTGTACAGAACCTATGTGACAAATAAGGATTAATTCTTAGAGTTGATAAACACTGTGTAATTCCTGCCACCCCCAGCCCACAAATTTAATCGTCACGTCTGTGATAAATGTCACATTGGTTTTACAAAAATTTTGAGCTACAATTTAGTTTCCTTTTTTATAGAATGAATTGCTATTTTTGGAGGGTTCTGTATATTTCATAAAAAGAACCTTTCTGTATATAATATTTTCCTATTATTATTATCAAATGTAAATCCCTGCGTTTCACGAATTAATTATAATTGGCAATTTTCAATTTTTTTATTCTAAAATTTTTGAAAAATAAAAATGAATTCAATATTTGAAAAATATTTCAATGAAAATGAAAGATTATTAAACACAGAAGATTTTTATGATGTAAAAATATATGTTGGTGTAGAACCAAACATTAAAGAAGTTCATGCACATGCATCTATCATATCTACTCATTGTCCATTTTTTAGCAATGCATTGAGTAGTGCAACAAAAGAAAATGGATATTATATTGTTAAGAAAGCTAATATTAGTGAAAAATGTTTCAACCCTATTCTCAAGTAAGTTTAAATTTAAATAAATACATTATTATTTATTTATTATATAATAATTAATTTAATAATTTATAGATTTTTATATACATGTAAAATCAAATTTGAAAATTATTCTGGAGCTGAAGTATTAGAATTATTAATTGCAGCAGATGAACTTGATCTAGAGTCACTTTATGAATACTTGATGAAATGTTTTGTTGAAAATTATGAAAATTATATAAAAGAAAATCTAGTTAAAATTCTACAATCAATTTATTCTAATGAAAAATTTAAGGAATTGAAAAATATCTTTTTGGAAAATTTTTGTGAGTATAGTGAAAAATTATTTGAATCAAGTGAATTTAAATCATTGGAAAAGCCAACTCTATTGGAGATTCTCAAAAGAGATGATTTTTCTGTTGATGAGATAGTTATTTGGGAAAACATTCTTAAGTGGGGAGTAGCAAAACATCCAGAAATCAATAACATTGATGTTGAAAATTGGCCATTACAGAATTTTGTTGATTTAGGCAACACATTAAAAGATTTTCTTCCTTTAATTAGATTCTGTGATATTTCTAAAAAGGATTTCTTTAATAAGATTATGCCATATCTAATGCTTTTTCCCAGGGCTTTATGGAAAGATATTTCACATTATTATTTATTTCCAGATGAACAACCTACTTTGAATTTATTACCATCAAGAATTTCAACAATTGTCAATAAAGATGTTACATTACTTATTGCAAGTTGGATTGACAAAAAAAGTCCACCATATAGTTCATTTAGGGAAGTTAAATATAAATTTAAACTTTTATATTGTAGTAGAGATGGCTTAAATGCAGAAATATTTCATCAAAAATGTGATAATATTAATAAAACTCTTGTAGTTGCTAAAATACAAAATTCTGATCAAATATTTGGTGGATATAATCCACTAAATTGGAATGCACCTAAAGGCGGTATACATAAGAGTACAACTGAAAGTTTTATATTTAATATTAGCAATAGAAATGATGTTAATACTGCACAATTTAGTTATGTTATTAATAATGATTATAAACATGCAATACAGTGTATTCCTTCTTATTTACCTCTTTTTGGAAAGGATGCTAATGATCTTTGTTTTTACGAAGGTGGTAGTATTTACAGTCAACCAATAACTTATAATAACATCAATTTAGTACATGAAAGTAAATATGATTATTTAGAAGTATTTCAAATAATTGATAATAATTAAATATTACTATATTTTCTTTGTTAATAGTTAATTTAATTTATAAATATCTTCTTTATATATTTGTCATTATTAATTTAATCAAATATTTACTGATATTAAACATATGAATTATCACCAGTTAAAAAGAAAGCTAGTTACTGCCTTATTCTATAAAGAT